CAAGCACATCAGTGACCAGTCCTCCTGATATCACCACCTTGCCCCTCTCCTCTGAGGCTACAACCACACCTGTGAGTACAACTCCTGAAATCACTTCATCTTCTCCTCTGGAGGTCACCACCACCCCTGTTTCCACACTACCAGAAGGAAGTTCTCCATCATCCACCACCCTGTCCGCAAGCACATCAGTGATCAGTACTCCTGATATCACCACCTTGCCCCTCACCACTGAGGCCATAACAATACCTTTGACTACAACCCCACAAGTCAGTTCATCTTCAACTGTGGAGGTCACCAGCACCCCAGTTTCGACCCCACTAGAAGGAAGTACTGCATCATCCACAACACTGTCCTCAAGCACATCAGTGACCAGTCCTCCTGATATCACCACCTTGCCCCTCACCACTGAGGCTACAATCACACCTGTGAGTACAACTCCTAAAATCACTTCATCTTCTCCTCTGGAGGTCACCACCACCCCTGTTTCCACACCACCAAAAGGAAGTTCTCCATCATCTACCACCCTGTCCGCAAGCATATCGGTGACCAGTCCTCCTGATATCACCACCTTGCCCCTCACCACTGAGGCCACAACCACACCTTTGACTACAACCCCACAAGTCAGTTCATCTTCAACTGTGGAGGTCACCACTACCACTGTTTCTACCCAACCTGAAGGAAGTACTCCATCAGCCACAACCCTGTCCTCAAGCACATCAGTGACCAGTCCTCCTGATATCACCAGCTTGCCCATCACCACTGAGGACACAACCACACCTGTTAGTACAATTCCTGAAATCACTTCATCTTCTCCTGTGGAGGTCACCACCACTCCTGTTTCCACACGACCAGAAGGCAGTATTCCATCATCCACCACCTTAGTTCCCAGCACGAAAGTGACCAGTCCTTCTGGTGTCACCACCTTGCCTCCCACTCCAGATGCCACAACCACACCTTTGAGTACAACCTCAGAAATCAGTTCATCTTCAACTGTGGAGGTCACCACTTCCACTGTTTCTAACCAACCAGAAGGAATTACTCCATCATCCACCACCCTGTCGGCAAGCACATCAGTGACCAGTACTCCTGATATCACCACCTTGCCCCTCACCACTGAGGCCATAACAACACCTTTGACTACAACCCCACAAGTCAGTTCATCTTCTCCTGTGGAGGTCACCACTCCTGTTTCCACACTACCAGAAGGAAGTTCTCCATCATCCACCACCTTTGTTTCCAGCACAACGGTGACCAGTCCTTCTGGTATCACCA